AGGCAATGTTAGCTGATATAGGATTAAGTCGGAAAACAGCTGCTGGTGGTCAAACTGAATCCTGACATCAGTCCATAAAATATTTGAGAGTTTTGTTTGACTCACTTCCTGGTCGTGGTCCTTGGGATTTGGAGAATAAATGACTGAAGATTGTTGGTAATAAGACTCAAAGTCTTTGTCAGTTGTGCAGACATATTCACTCTTTGTGCCCTCCCATACCCATTAATCTTTTCTTTTACTATTATCGTTCTTCCGAATCTCGTTGTTTTCTCTTTTGTTCACATTTTGTGGGCTACATGAAGTATGACAACTTGAACTGCTGCACTTTTGTGCAAAGTTTTTTGTGTTGAAACTCAGTCATGATAATTCCTAAGTTTTTTCTGTTTTCTTTGTTACTCTGTTTTGTATTCTAGAATAGTTACTTATGTCAACGTCAGTAGTAGTTGTATACATGTTAGACAAAAGTTCAAAAACACTATTCAGTTATTTTCCACGGAGTTCAGATAGCTTTAGTCGTCTATAATAGCAAAAAACGTCGTTACAAAGAGTTAAGAAACTCAAAGTATTAATGATTTCAAGTATTTTGGGTCTACTGCCAGCTTAATTGATTGCTGTTTCTGTATACTGTGTCCATTCCACTTCTTCACTGTATGCCTAATCTAATCTCTAACTCAACCGAAAGTGTACATACACACCATGGAGTATTTCAATAGAATTTATCAAGAAATATTCGATAAAGTTTTTTTTTCACTTCGTTGTTGATATTCCAATCAAACAAACTCAGCTGACATGAAACTCCTCTACCACGGTTCAAACCAGAGTGTGTTTACATTAATAATGCTGCATTACAAACCTTTAGTATTTGAAGGATCTGATGTTGACAGTATTGTCATTTAATTTGACATAGTGAAGCTACCAAAATGATATAATGTGGTGTAAAATTAGTATTAAAACAACAGGATGGTTCTTTATTGCTTATAAATTAACTTGAAAAATGCAAAGGCGTGTGCTCATACCATCGGGTTACGTAATTTTCCACATCGCCCAGTCTGTCGTATTTAATCAGATATACTTTGTGTTAACCATCTGTTTACGTTTTTCAAGAACAATCTATACTCGCGTGGATTTTTGATTGGCTATTTTTCATAATACGTGGTCTGTTCTTAAGCGAAAAAAGGTGTCAAGGATAAGTAAACGTTTCAGATAGAACAATATCCTGTCGAATGATATACTGTAGAGGGTGCATAGATCATATCTTCACTCTCCTACAGATCCTAGAATATAGACACACTTTTCGGCGTCCAACAATTGCCATATTTCTTGACTAAAATCGCCCTTCGACTCCGTGGATCGAAAGGTACTATGGCAATGTTTGACTGTAAAGGCAGTGCCAAGAAAGTACATTGCACTAATCAAGACACTCTATTCAAACTCACGTATCCGTGTAAGGGCTTATGGGGAATTGTCATCTGAATTGATAACAACCAGTGGTGTCCGACAAGGATGTCCACTTTCCCCATTTCTGTTTAACTTCATCATAGATATGCTAATGGAAATATCCTTAACTGAACTTAACGACTTAGGAATCGACTTGTTACCAGGGTATAGTCTTATGGAGTTAGAATATGCAGATGACATAGACCTGTTAGGGGTGGATGAATAAAAAATGCAGAGTCTTCTGAACACCTTGAGCAGGAATCTTCGTATGTTTGGCATGCGATTCGCCCCTGCAAAATGTAAGATGCTGCTACAGGACTGGACCACGTCAACTCTTAGCTTAGTGATAGGGAGTGAAGTGATAGAACATGTTGATCACTTCACCTATTTGGGAAGTTGTATCAGCACCAACGGATTGATTGGCGATGAAATCTCATCACGGATCCAAAAAGCTCGAGCTGCTTTCGCTAGCTTGCACTATCTCTGGCGTAGGCGTGACATCTAGCTATCAGCCAAGGGACATGTGTACTGCTCAGAAGTTTGCTCCGTCTTTCTCTATGGCTCTGAAACATGGCCAATAGGATTTGAAGACATGAAAAGGTTGACTGCTTTCGATCATAGATGTCTGCGATCTGTTTCTCACGTTAGGTGGTATAATAAGGTAAGTAATGTTGACGTTAGGCGTAAAGTGTTGGGCAAAGAGGGAAAATCAATCGACGAGGCTATAAAGTTACATAGATTGAGATGGCTAGGTCAGGTGCTGCGCGTGCCTAACCATCGCCTCCCCCGATGGGCATTACTAGCTGATATGGGGGCAGGTTGGAAAAGAGTAAGTAGTGGGCAAACAAAAACATGGCCTCATCAATCCATGAAATCCTTGACATTTAAACTGAGTCAGGTAGGGGGGTGCAGACTTCTGGTTTGGTGCCCTCGTGACTCTAAGAATCAATGGTTGGAGACAACAGGTGACATGGTTGAAAATCGTTGTCAGTGGCGCAGATGTATTCAGTCTCTGTAATCTTTCATATTCCTTTCTACCATTGCCCATTCTGTTTCACTCTTATACTTGTCAAACCCTATTTATTCTTCTCACCAATCTTTTTGTCTACGTTTGTGTGCTGTTTTGGAACGTGGCAACTCGAACTGCTGCACTTCGGTGCCAATTTCTATGTTGAATGCCGACAGACAGACTGTAAATTACTGCTTTTTTGATTGGACACTAGTAATTAGTGTGATGTGTCTAGGCGTTTCTTTGGTGCAGACTGAATTTTATCAGTCAGGTTTTTAATGTGGCCACCATTCAACGTAGCTTGCCATCACGGTGCACACTGATTTGATGACATTATTTGATTGGAGGCAATCGGCAGGAAGCCTTGGATCTAGGTTTCATGCTAGTTAACACTCATCAGCAAGGCGTATCGCGAGCTCAGTGGTGACGTCTCTGGTTGCAGCACTGGGTAACGCCGATTCGTGTATCAGAAGGGACATGAGTTCGTTCAAGGCCGCAGATACGTCTTGGTGAGGAGTGTCGACTAGCACGAAACCCAGGTCAGATGGGGCTTTCTGTCGATTGCCTCTAACTATCTAAGATCACGGTTTCAGTTGAAGATTCTGTATAAAGAGTAGATGAAACCAAGCTGAAAATTCTATACTGTGTACAAATGTGTTGTTCAGAATAAGATTATCATTATTATTTTGCTTATGATTATGTTTACTGCTAGACTGTAATATCCTACGAAGTCTTTCACTCATGTAAATGTTTGACTTTTGATCAGTAATTTCTCAATTCAAACTATGCTTTATTTACTTCGGCATGTGTATCTATGCTGTAACTTATGTGTTCACGCATGGGATGTCACCTATAGTCTTCCTATTATATAAAAATAAGTGTGATCAATAACTAAGTTTGAATATCATTTAGTCAATTCTTCTCAAGTCTTTTGAATATTGGTGTCAATACGATGGTTCATTATCTGTTCATACATCTATGGAATGGCTTATGTTAATAATTTCGTCCACTTTACAGTCCAGATATAGTGAAGGTGTTTTTTATGCATATCTATCATTTAGGCATTCAAACGTTACGTGCTTGGGTAAGACAACCTAGTTATTTAATTCCTAAGCATTTCTCATCTTGTCACTGGATTTTCCCCTCGTTAGGCTTTAGTCATTATTTTCATGAAAAAATTTATTTGTGTGAACAGTATTCTGAACTTGTAAATTGTTGATCATCACATCTAACGCCAACAGTGTAAAATTATCCTCATGCAGAACTTTGACTGACCCTACTAATTAAACTTCTTCTTAAAACTTGGTGGAATCGCCATTGAAGCTCTTCATTGGTAAACACTGAACTACTTGCTATTCAGTTAATCGCTTTCAATAGTACTATGACTAATGTTTTCCAGTGAAACCACTCAGTTTCCTATAATTTTTCTGACTGAATAACTAACATTAATCGGTGTATTCTGCAGTATTATTATTTATTATTATATCCTTTAATTCCTAGAGGAACATAGGGCTTCAGCTGCGCACCTCCATTGCCTTCTGTTTTCTGCCAACTTTTTCACCCCGCTCCAAGTCTGCCCACACGACCTCATCTCCTCTTCACATGACCTCCTCCAAGTCACCCTCACACCGACGACCAACTCGCTGCCTCCCTTTCGGGTTCCAATCGAGCAATCACTTGTCTAGTGATGTCACTTGATGGTTTCCTCAGCGTATGGCCAATCCATCTCCATTTCTTCCTGCCTATTTGTTTCACAATCGGTTCCTGTTGTGTTGGTTCGACACCAGAGATCCCTGTTTCTGATCTTTTCTGACCGGCCATCTGATCTTGAGTACTGAGCAAAGACAGTCGTTAATGAAGGACTGTAGTTTGTTTGAGATGCTCTTTATGACGAGCTGGTCAAGTCTCTGATCCGTATAGTGAGTAGCACTGACTTCACATTGGAGTTGAAAATCCGGATTATATTTTTGATGCTGAGTGGGGCTGTTGACCTCCACACAGACTTCACATTAATGAAAGCTTTTTTTGCTTTTCCGATTCTGTATTCTGTAGTATCATTTCTTTATTTGTTTTCAAAATATTTCTGTGGTGTCATAACATTTTTTTAACGTTAATTCGCATTCCCCCTTGATGGATTATGTTGGACCAAAACGATCCGTCTTTGTTGGCATACCAGTTCCGAATATGAACGCTTTAATTATGTCTAATGATTGTTGTAAACTTATCTTGGTTAATGGGGACTTGTAGTAGGATCTTGGACGCATACTGATTTGCACTTCCCCTTGATTGTTTATTGTTTGAAATGACTCTTGTGACGCACTGGATAATGCATTGGAGTTTGGAACTATGGTTAGAGTTGGAACAAATCACTCACTAGGGAGTGCGCAATCATTCAGATGTGAGGTTCTATATTGGACACACAAATGCACATCCTGCATTCCACAGCTAGTCACCATCTTTTGAAATAATTTATGATAACATTTCTTTATTCCTGTGTAATACCTTTATTAACCACACTATTATTATTGTTATTGTGTGTGTCTTTCTATTTCAGTCTCATCAATCCTCTCGTGCATTATTGTGATATTTCCTTTACAATAAAGTAAGTAAGAAAAATTGTCATTTGAACATAAACTGTTTTTCGTATATATTTTCAAAATTTTTATTACTACAAATGTCGATTTAATCAGTTGAACATGTTTTCCTGGTTCCTGGTTATTAGCCTCACACATATATTGTATGATAACTGATGATACTACCTAGTTGTCTGGGCTGAAGTATGCAGAGCGGAATAAAAAACCCTAACTGAATAGCTGAAAGTCTAATGATTAGGCTGCTGATCCATATCAGTACTACAAATATGAGATTAATTATTTTCCGTATTGTGTTTTATAGAAGAATTCTGAAGCTTATCTGATTGGACACATTGATTCCGATAAAAGAAGAAGTGCTGGGCATAGAGTTATCCTTTTCAGCGACGTCATTCTGAGGCGATTGTACAGCCTGAGAATGATATCGCTGAAAAGAGTAACTTTCCGCTGAATGCATCTCCTTTCATTTGACTTAATAAGGATTTTGAAGTTACCTTGACTTTTATATTCACCGTCGTTATGGCCTCACAGATGCATGCACAAACTATGTAACTGAAACAGGTGTCTTTAGGGCTGTCCTTATTATCGTTTGGATATTTTAATCGAAAACAAAATAGAATGGCGTTAAATGAAACTAAAGCCCTATTTTAAAATACTAGGGAAAGTCAAAACCCTTTAAAATCTATCCCCAAACAGTCTAACTATATTTTCCAAACTGTCCAGTAAAATTCACCGATTAAATCTAAAAGTAATTTTAAAGTAATGGGAACTAATGGGAGTGAGATTTTACACCCGTGTTCCATGCTTGTAAGCATTCATCAGAAACGCATTTATAGCATTCAAGAAAATTTTGCCTCCTATTAGATTAGAACATGTAACACTCATATTTTAATATCCAAAACTTTCCAATGAGTTATTTGTCTCGCAACTGAAGCCAGTAAGTGTATGATATTATTATTCCCTTCGGTTCCGCGTGGAGCATAGAGCTTCAACAACACATCTCCACTTTGTTCTATTTTATACCGTTCTCTTCAGCATGGTCCACGATCGCGCATAATCCCTCGTCCCCTCCTCGCCACATGATCTCCTCCATATCACTCTCGCACTGATGACTCACTCGATGCTTCCCATTGGGTCCCACTCGAGGCATTGCCTGGCAGTGGCACGATGTCATTCGACGGTCTCCTCAACGTATGCCTGATCCGTCTCCATTTTCTCCTACGTATTTTCCGAGAAGTTGGCTCTTGGTTGGTTTGTTCATCTGCAGAGTTTCTTGTTGTTACCTTTAGATCTTCAATATGTATCCCGCAAAAACGCTGTTGGTAAAAGCCTGCAACCTGTGTTGGAAATGCTTTCTGTTACGCATGCGCCGAGTTTCTGACCCATGTAGAAGAAATAAATTCACATTTTTGTAGAAACTACGAATCTTGTTATTTATACTGAGTGAAGCAGAAGATTTCCAAACAGTTTTCAAGTTGATGAAGTGTATGGTATACCCATGTAAATCACTTGAACGGTAACAGATGTAGCTGTGTAGTCCTTCACGCTGATAAAAAACCATCGGCACAATTTAGTATCTCAGAGGAAATATGATTCTCCTCAAACTTGCACTTTTTCTTATAAGTATCAACAGTCACTTAGTCATCCTTCAAGATATCTAACTTAATGACCTTCAACTTTTTGTATCAAAATTATGTTTTACCCTCAGGCCGCTTATTTAATTATCGAAAAAGTTGCTTGTGATTTACACGAGAGAGTAATTCTTCAAATGCTGCAATATCACTGATTATATCTAAATTTGGTCTGTTTTAGTGCTATATGGTTTAGTAGTAGTTGGTGTATGATCTAGTGTTGAGCTGCATACGTCTTTATTATCCTTCACCTTACCAGTATAGGTGATGGTGTTCCGAAACTCGACGATGAACTTGTCTAATCGTACTTCCAATGCAACTAGATCGACAGGAGCAGTTAAACTGATAAAGACACATTGGAGAGGTGAAATTAGGCAGTTTGTGTTTATTTCCTGTACTAACTATTGTCTTGTTCGTGAGCAAATAGTACAACTTAGCTACGTTAAAAGTTCTTTTAATGGCTCTTCCCAGACATTGTGATACAATCTCACTATAAACATCTCTCATGACTTGCATTATCAGGAACAGCGATTTTTTTGGCAGTGTTGGCATCATGGGCTATTTTCCTGCTAAATCCATGTGTTTATTCAAAAATTCCATTAAATATCTGTTTCTACTTGATGGATCACGAATATCATTGAGTTCTTTGTTCAGTGTTTCATCTGAGTAAATAGTTTTAATACAGTGAACTAAATATCTAACCGGAATCCCTTTTTTACTCTAGGGGGGGGAGTAAAGAAACTCAGAAAGTGAGTAAGTATATTTTCCACTTGTTATATAGGTTTACTGTGGTGATGATTACGTGAATCAAACTGAACAAATCACTGTCTAGATTGCATATGGATTCCTGAAGTAGTCAAATCTTGTGTAGATATGCTTGTTTGAGCTACTTTTGGTCTATAGATTTATGAATAAATCGGAAAGTTAAGTAGCTACTCTGTATGTAGTGAAAGCAGGTTGCTAGCCAATTGGTAGACATTAATTTACGTCAATGTCTATGTCGCTAATATTGGCCATGAGAAAATATGAACAAGACTGATTCAACAACCAATCACAGGAGACTTAACGTGGGCGAATACGATTCGTAGATATGTGGCTAACTTTCCGAGAAACCAGTCACAAGCAGTACCGAATAACCTTGAGCAAGAAACAACCAATCAGAAGAGTGTGTTTGTCTGCTCGAATAAGCTATAATAATGTACATGAAATATATATAAATACGTGCTGATTTCCATAATAAACGATCTGTTGCCTGGCCCTTGTCTTCTGTTTTTACATGTATACTGAAAAGCTACGGTACAATAAGAGGCAAAAAGCATAACACAAAGTGAATAAATAAGCTTTTCTAATACAATAAAATGATCTGTATTCCCCATCTATGTGTTGGTGTTTTTAAGCGGTAGAATGCTCGCCGACCACACCTCACATGATCCGGGGTTCGATTCCCTTCCAACACACTCCTGAACCTCACTTGGACTGTTGTAAGGCAGGTAAAGGTGGAAGTTTGGGTGTGAAATTAACGATTTTACTTCGTAGAAAAATGATATCAGTCCTACTGGAACTTCAAAGCTAAAGCTTGAAGCCCCATGTTTCACTAGGAATGCAAATGAATAGAAAACAATCCTTATCCGGAAGTTAAAAAGTCAACACTCAATCAAACCCGTCTGATACAACAATCTTTGTATCAGTAATCAAGTCATTATCGTTTTTTTTATATTCAACTGAATATAGATGAACTTAGTTCTCCTACGCAGGTTTATTTTAGGGTTAAGGATATAAGCTATCTCGAGGTGTTTTCGCGCATAATATAGCAAAAGCTACAACAGATATTTCAACTGTGCAAAAAACGTTAATATAACGCTCTTTAAGCAACCAAACACAACATTTGATATGGCTAAATTACAATGCAGATAGAAAATCAACTAAATGGAAAAATTCAAATCGTAATTGACCGCCTCCATTCTACAAGTACACGAAGACGAAAACGTGGGCAGTTTGATTTGTAATAACTTATATCATCCCCGTTATTTCAGTGTCTTTTTCCAATTTCATGCTTATTAGCTTGAAATTTATCTCTTGTATTTAATAAATTTATTTATTTTACTTCATGTTTTTATTTTTTTTCCTCCCAGCATTACTTGTGCAGTTTCCTTGCTTAGATTTCATAAGACGGTACAACTATTATTTGCTACTTTCAACGTATTACACGTACATACACGATGTGCGTAGTGTGTGTGTGTGTGTTGGCATCATTTTAACCAATCAGAATTCATTGTTTACTTAAAACCATGGTGTCGTAGAGCTGAACCTAAACACTAAGCACTAAACCATATACCAATGTAAGGCATCATAGCACAATATTGGTCAATTTATTCCTTTCATAATCACTGTTACTATTAATGTTATCATTATTATTATTACTATCATTAACATTAAAGTTATTCACAGTTTTGTTCATATTACCGCTTACATAAACATTGAATAATTAATTCTCTTTTTTTCCTCATTATTTTATCATTACGTATGTATGATTACTTGAAATTGAAAAAACCGTCAACTGTTTTTTCTCACTTGATATTTAATGCCTTTTGTGATTTTATGTTTTTCTGGATTTCTCTTTTTTTTCGTTTCTGTTTGCATTTATTTATAAGTTGTATTATTGACTAAGACATCTAGGATGATAGTTGATCGTTAACTGTCAAATATATCAAACACATCAACATAATATATAGAACGATATCTCTTAAATGTGATATGATGAGCATTCTATAATATGCTATTATTATTATTATTATTATTATTATCGAACATGTATAAGATTTAGATTATATTTTGACATTTAGATCTCTTTTCTTCTGAATGCTTTCATATATATATATATATATATATATAATAGTTTTTCGCTCTTGTGGATCTCTACTATGTATATGTCAGACTATTAAATCGACTTCGCGTCTTCACTGAAAGAATCTTTAGTTTGAATGTCGTTTATGCCTTCACATTTATCTTTCATAATGATTAACCTTACAAAAATTAGATTTAATTTCTTTCACATAATCTGCTTCTCAATTTGTTCTCCGTTTTTTTCACAGATCGTTCCTCTTGTAATCGATGCCTATATATATATATATATATATATATATATATATATATAACATGAAGTATCTTATGAGCTGTTAATCATTGCTCTACTCCACTCTACTCCTTTTTCAATAAACGACAATCATGTAGGTACAGTTCTTCTATCTTCTTCCCTCTCTCTGTGTTCCTCTCGTCTTTTCTAAGTCTTCTCCTCTATCATTTATTCGTTTTCCTGTCTTTATGGGAAGAAATACGGAGTATTGATATTACTCATATCATCATCATCATTAACATACTTTGTTTGTTTTTTCTTTGCTGTTTCGTTTTCGTGTTTTAAATCGTTACTCAACTTTTTTTGTTTATCTGATGTTATAATATTAGAAGAAAGAAGACCATAAAAAGAAACTTGCAAAATAGAAATGAAGAGAAACATTTAATGTAATCTACTCATTTCGTGTGTGTGTGTGGTGTATGTGTGTGAATGTATCTGTGTTTAACAGAGAGAGAGAGAATGAGGTATTGTGTGTATATGTGAATCCCATGCTTTTTCAAGAAAAAACAACCATAGACAAATCATAGTTTAGGGCTTTAACGACGATACAGTAAGTGCATAAATCTTAGAGTTTCAATAACTAACTTTAAGGAAGGAACCTGAAAGAAACAACCTCCTTTACCTACCCACCTGGGAAGCATCGTTTCAACTACAAGCGGAACTGACGAGGATATCAAAGCAAGAATCGCGAAATCAAGACAAGCTTTCATTACTTTTTAGTCTGTGTGGAGGTCAACAGCCCCACTCAGCATCAAAAATATGATACGGATTTTCAACTCCAATGTGAAGTCAGTGCTACTCACTATACGGATCAGAGACTTGACCAGCTCGTCATAAAGAGCATCTCAAACAAACTACAGACCTTCATTAACGACTGTCTTTGCTCAATGCTCAAGATCAGATGGTCAGAAAAGATCAGAAACAGGGATCTCCGGTGTCGAACCAACACAACAGGAACCGATTGTGAAACAAATAGGTAAGAAGAAATGGAGATGGATTGGCCATACGCTGAGGAAACCATCAAGTGACATCACTAGACAAGTCATTGCTCGATTGGAACCCGAAAGGGAGGCGGCGAGTTGGTCGTCGGTGTGAGGGTGACTTGGAGGAGGTCATGTGAAGAGGAGATGAGGTCGTGTGGGCAGACTTGGAACGGATGAAAAAGTTGGCAGAAAACAGAAGGCAATGGAGGTGCGCAGCTGAAGCCCTATGTTCCTCTAGGAATTAAAGGATACAATAATAATAATACTCATAAGAACAGATAGTTTAACAAAATTATACTAAGTTCCGATATTTCGAGTATAATACTGATACAATAAATGAATCTATGTATGAATTTTAATAACAGTTGCTAGGGGCAAAAAGCAAAGCTACAGTTGAATAATACAAGAACGACGGTTTTTGCAGAAGAAGATGGCACCATTGTTTATTTCGTCGACATATCCTTAACTGCGTACTTCCTGAAGAAATTATTAGGTCTGTGTACAGGAGAACTCTAATGTACATACATACTTACTTACGTGATGTCAGTTAACAGGAGACTTTAAACTTGAAAGACAATGTGCAGAAATCATATTTATATGGTTTAAATTTAAACAAAATTAGGAGCTTGGAAAGAACGACAAAAGAATCGCGTAACTGTTAAGGTGAGTAACAGTGTAGTGAGTTCCATTGAAATCATAGCTGCAAAAGACAAGCGGAGTTACATTACGGCTAAGAAAAGAAGGTGAAAGAAAAAGATTACGTTGCCAGACAATAGAGTAAAGATATTGAGTAAGCAGGGCAAAGGAAGATTGATAACTAATTCTTTCTGAACGCATAAATCAGGTTTCGCGCGTTTGATAGCAATTACCTCGGCAGACTAGAGGAGAATAAAACCATTTTGTGTGTTGATAATTTTAAAGGACACATGTTGTTCACCTTATGACTCGTCTGTACTAACCAAACACAATTTCTCATAGGATCGCATCACTTATTTTGGCGGTCAGATTACAGTGACACCTCATGACCAGTAGTTAAAACTATACAGGTATGTTAATCATCAATTCGTAAATAAAGTTTCAGAAATTATTTCTGTTATAACAAAGCAATTAAATCCCTTTTCAGCCAGCAAACCTCAGGTGTTTCTGATCTGAACGCAGCAAATCAGTCTATGCGTTCTAATGTATGGCTAGTCAGAACTTCCTTGAGTTACTCGCGGTCATATAACGCACCAACGACGGCCAAAGGACAGTTATTTGCTATGAAATCTAAGGTACTATTTAACAATGACAACATTGAAAATTGCTTTTACAGTGACGTTAGGCAACTGTACAGAGCAGATAGGTTTCTAGCACACCAAAAATAAAACAACAAGGTGGGATCGAAATTCTGCCTGCAACAAATCCTGCAGACAATTCAAGGTCAGAGTGATTTTGACTCACTTGAACAAAATAACACGTTATGAATATCACCACATTAACCACGAAGAGAAACGTCAAAATTAGAGACTAAACAGGAAAAAATAGAAGTAATAAGGATTAGGCCAAAAAACATTGAAATCCAAACTTCAGAACAATGATATACATTTAAGAAAATAGGCGGAAAATAATTACAAAGTTAGTTAAAATATCCAAATAAGTACCACTGTTGTAATTAGATTGTTTAAAATGGATTTTCAAGAAATTATTCCGTTACTACTGTGACATACAACTTCCTAGAGAGAATGCATTTCTTTCCAGTAATTCTTTCAAGGTTTCAGGCTTATCACTCACTACGTCTCAGGAAAATAAATAAATAAACTAGATGAGCCATTCAACTTCTCAATCGAAGATTTAAACTAAATAGTCACTTAAGCCCAAGACTCACTGCTATGTCCTCATAAGTCGAGACTCATTAGACGTTTACACGCATAATTAGGATGGTGAAAGGAGTACGAGCCACTGGTTTACGAGAGAAATATGTCGCAAAATAGACACTAGGTGAGAATACAGTTGGGCATGATGCCCAACCCCTGTTAAATTAATATCCTATTGGATATCATACCTGACCAGTCTCATAGATTGGACTGATTTGCATTGAATGTGAACTACACAGTTAGGTGTTAGAATCACAGGTTAAATCTTCTTCGCTAAAAATTCTTCGTGAAAACTTTTTGTTTCTAAAGAATCTAGAGTTAGTATGTAAGTGATTATGAATGATCTCAGGTTTTGAAGTAATTTTTCCTGAAATCAATGGAATTGCTAAGAACTAGAACTTTTAAATAAATTTTATTTGTAGAAAACAATTCGAAATAAAATAAAACAAATATAATTAAAATGTAAAAATGGAATAAGAATAAATTTAACGTATTTGAATAAGTTAAAGACTTGAATGAAACGAAAAATAAGAAGAATATATATATATAGACACCTTCAATAAGCATATTCTTCTGTTTGATATGTACGTATGTTTCGTAATACAGTCATAAGGATAAGCTGTATTCAAAAAGAAAAGACGACCTCAAAGTCTCGGTGTATAAACACTTTCTCGTGGCTAGAATTGTACTGTATAGTCATAATATTACAATAAATGAACTGTACATACTGAATTAAAACGACTTATAATCACTAATATGTTTGCCATTTTGCCTTAAGACTGAGTATTTGTAAACATGCTGGATATTAATTGTGGCATATATTCACTGGCATTTTCGGGTGGTATCAATTGTTTAGAATCATTATAAGCATAAACGGTTGGAATATTTTTAATTTGATTGTATTTTACATTAACTGGATTCAGATTATATGAATATGTGGTATACATCTGGTTGTCTGGATAGTATACACCAGCTTCTAGCGTTGGTGGACAGTGATTGGCTATATACTCTGTGCGTTGTGTATTCTCAAAGGTTTCTTGAGCTACTGTATGAAACAAGAGAACAAGGCGAAAATTAGAATGCATCTTGTTAACCTAAGCAATATTAAGTGTAGACACATGGCGACATTCATAATCACGGGTCATCTGAATCCTTGAGAACACTTATTTTACCACACGAAATCCTAAACTCCATCTTTAAAATTCCTGCTTGGAGAATATACCATTAAGTTAAAATAAGAAAATATGACTGATAGAGACAAGCATCTCGTGTGTGATGAAGCTTCCTCACCTATAACGTTAGACAGTTCCTGCTTTCTGTTGGTTAATTAATAAAATTCAGTGAGAAACACGACTAATTTCAAACCTAGTGAATAAGTAATAAAATGGTTGTCTAAAAAGCTTCACTGTTCTGAACTCGATTCACTAAGGCATACAGTTGAAAAAGCCACTGCCGAGTCGGATAAAACAACTAACCAAAGAGGCATATTTTTGAGTACTATCCTAACTCATATCCATTCATGAAGAACACAAGACTGCCAAAATATTTCATTGCTTACGTTAAGGAATAAATCACACGGCATAAACAATAATGTCACAATGAACGTGCCTATTCCCATTTTTGTGTGTGTAAACATTCGATTTAGTTATCTATCTTCTAACCGACAACTATAAAGTAATCTACGTTTAGCGAGGTGAAAATATGACAGTATTGGTGGACAGCTCAAAATTTTTATATGTGCATGGCGTCGGTCTTCCATTCACATTAGAAAAATTGCAGGTTCAGATGAGTACATGTTTCAGTGTTTTAAAATGAAAGGTTCCCTTAAATCACACTGCACTACTAAACTATATATCCAGTACAATCCATCTAGTTGATTTTATATTACATGATGCAAGACTTGCTATGCATTGTGTTGTATTCATGTGCGGTTTAAACCAGTTTTTGTTTTCAAACAGCAGATGTCATAGAAGACACCCCTTAGTCTTCATAATAAGGCTACACCAAATTATATATTGTCGATTATCACATATAATTTATTTGAAACTTTTGTACAAGTAATAATAGCAATAAAACACACACCCAGAATTTTGTAGTGTACACAAAACTATTCTGTAAAATAATCCTATTATTATTGAAAACTATAGTCAGATGCTTTAGAAAATATTTCTAATATATCTAATAACTGAATTTGGTGCCGGTTTCGGTAGAAGTTTAACATAATTTGTGTGATTCGACTAACTAACAACGAATTAATCAAATCGTCTACTGTTACTGTCCATTTTATAAGAAACTTAAAAGAGAAACGCTTTTGTTTTTAAAGCGATATGCTGCAATATTAATTACAGCCATAAGGAGAAAATTATAATACAGAATCATCTATAACTAACGTAAATACCCTTGTTTTTATATATGGAGAAACTACGGTTTACAAAGTCGAGTATCTTTTCTTTTTCAAGTATTGATTTGCAGAGATCTGACTGCTTGCAGGTTTCATTGCGAGCTGACATCAGCTGGGAAATCAACGGTAAACCAGAGAGTACTGAAGAGCTGTTTCGTCCTAGTCTGTGACTCTTCAACAGCAGGTACCTATCGGGGTTAGAATTCATGGCATTCTCATACTCACTAGTGACTGGCTGCACACAAGAGGCCAACTGGAGTTCTACTGAGAAACTATAACTAGCGGAATGCACCAAGTCTGGCAAGAGAACAAATACTGGCCTATGACATTGACTGGGGGTCTCTCAACGCCGCGAACTGGCAGCAGTTGGAATCGATAGTAGTCTTTTATTGAGTAGCGTGGGTGGCATGGCGGTTAGGACGCTCGCCGACCATGCACATGGTCCGAGGTTCGATCCCCGGCCGACGCAACCTTTTACCTCGCTAAACCAGAAATAATGCTGGTAAAGAGGAAAAGGTTGGGCTTGAAGCTAGCAACCCCATCCTGTAAAACAAACACTGCTACAGAAACTTCAAGCCACTAGCTTGAAGCCCTATGTTCCATTGGGGAACGTGAAGGAAGAAAAGAAAGTGGAGGGGTAACAGTTCACAAAATTACTGAGAAGTGGTTTCTAAATATAAAAAGTCATGTTATAGTCAAAAGCGATTTTCACCACATCAATTTTCAAACCCTAACTTCTATTCTGTCTTGACCATAACATACTTCCCTACTTTTCGAAAACCCTTATGAGTAATTTAGGTGATAAAAGAATCTGGAGAAAAGATGTCTACTTTTCAATTCTTTTGTCTTTTAATTGTCTAAATGGGAACTTTTTTCCATTCTGGGTAATGGTGTCAATAATGTCACCTCATCCCTGCTGCTCAAGTATTAGGCCACCACACGTCTTTAGTAAATGTGACTGCGGTTGTACAGCCTCTAGAAATGATTTCGTTGGCAAAGAAAATTTTCCTGCTGAATTGTCACTTATTCACTCTGAATATCTTTAGTACATTTGAGAAAGTTTCGAACTTCACAAAACTAAACAGAAGTATTTACAGGGACATTATATAAGCTGAAAAATAAAATGAATACACTTTATACTATTCAATAGTTTTATGTGAATAATAGACTTACAGTGAGTTGTAAACATCGGTGTATGTTCTACATCACTATTATCATTAATATTGTTGTTATTATTAGTATTATTACAGTCATTAGTGTTATTGAAGTCTTCATCACTATTGTCTTCATTGATTCTTTCTAGGACTGGTTGTGAGCAGTGATAGCATTCAGCCAATGAATCGAAATGACATCTCTTAACTGTTGCGTAATTTTCGTTTCCACTGTTGTTAATATCATTATCATTTAATACATGACTTGTGTTATTCTCACAGTTATTCATTATGGTATATACTGGAATTCCTGACGCAGTAGTCACACCCAAGTGAATTGAAGGTGATTGTTCTTCCCGTTGCTGCTGCTGTTGTTGTTCAATTGCATACTTGATTGAATCTTCTTCCCTTGGTATTTGATGCAAAGTTGTTTCTAATAGGTTAGATTTATTTTCTGCATCTTTATTTAGTAAATTCAAATGTACTACTGGGTTGGATTTCAATGGTATATATTTGTTCGAAGTAGAATTCTCATCGACAACAGTTAAACTAGTATCTGTGAACTGATTCATTTCTGTTTGAATTGGTACACTAGTAAGGTGGGTTATTGTCGAGACAGCAGCCGCGGCCGCGGCTGCAGCTGCCATCGCCTCTGCAGATAATGAAGATGGTGATGAGGACGGCAGTTCTGCTGCTGGCTGTGGTGGTGGTAGTGATGGTGGGGATGTTGATACATGTGTGTAACTATTATTTTGTTCAGGATAAAGTTTGGGCAGTGATGAATATGCTTTACTGTGTTTCTTTTCTTCAAACTGCACTGATTTATTCTTTGAAACATGACATCTGGAAGTAGATCCTACATGGGAGTTAACGGGTTTTCCTTTTGAACTACCTGTATCTGGAGAGATTGAAGATTAAGCACCTTTTGAGCAAATGGATTATAATTTATATAAATGTTAAGTTTAAAAATAAATGACTTCATTTCCACTTTCTTTCTAATAGGGTGTTTATGAACTAGGAATGCGACGCTACACATTCCATGATAGCTATAATAATAGTAGTTAAGGGTCTATGATCTCAAAAAGGTTCATGTACAAGCATCTTACAATTATGAACTACTGAGAAATTATCTTTGTTTTTTCATAAAAGCAAGTATGTGTAAATTTCTCAACTGAGAAAAGCGATATGCAGAAACTAGGGAAACTTATACATGATACAGCCCTAGAGAATGACTAAAGGGAAAAATTTTGTTTTCAAATGATTCTGACTAGGTATGATGACAACTATAGGAGCATAAAAAGCTTGTCGTCAGTACTTTTACTACTTAATTTCAATTTGAGTGAAATGGGTATTTATCAAATTTAAGTTTAGCTGAGAGACACGGGTAGTATATAATTGGGTACTGAGACTAAGTGAAGCAGAAATTCTTAAGAGTTTGGCTATGAGATATATCGTTTAGACTATGAAGACAACACTGTCTTTGTCAAGTCGTTCGTCACTGTTATCAAATAAGGAAGGTACAAAAATGCTTGTGATTATGGAAGCTTACATAATTACATCATTATCAACACATTTGCTGCGTGTCTTAAACTTTGTTTCAGTCCAATTCGCCTTATTTACTTAACGAGTGGTGGTCTGCTTGAAACTTGAGCAACCCAAAACTTCCATCATTCTATTGCATATATTTTCTCTCATTCGACTTGTTTTAGTCGATATAGATATGAACTCTAATGGTATTATTTAGTCTTGTGTCCATTTAAAATGTTTACAAGCCTCTGATTAGCAAGTTCCTACTAAACTTGAGGAAAGGCCTGATTGTGGATGTCAACGTGTTCCAATACATGTGATAACTGTACTTCATTTAAGTCCTTCGGTCTCAAAATGGACTTCTGAACATCTTACAATTAGTTTTCAACTGGATATCGTGGATTTATTGAAGGAGACAAAGCAGATATACCATAATGGAATGGTTTGTGCTTCAGCTCATAGAGCATTGTGTCACAGGATATACTGTCAATTAATATTTTACTTCAAGATGTTGTACGAAGTGAAAATATTATGCAATCAACTACTCTGAAAATTCTGTACATTATATAAATACTGTCCAGAATAAAGATATTATTATTAACATATACATATACAGATAAAAAGTTAAGAGTGTTTACGATTTTAAAAGTCTATGATTTGGTCGCCAATTAGTGGGTTTTACTCTGCAGGTTGCCTTGAAGAATACGATTTCGTCGTTATATAACCAAATTTGAGAAAATCTCAAAAGGACTAATTTATGAAAATCGAAACAGTACCAACAGTCCACTCGTTTTTAAAGTCCCATTTCCTGAAGCGCATAAAGAAACTCTCCCACTTCTTTTTTCACAAGGATTTATTGCATTTTGTAGATTGGATAGGTAACTAGAATTATTATAATAAGTTCTGGTTCAAAAGAAATATCTTAACCTTCCATCTTGTCCGTTTGCTTATTTTATGTTCACAACAATGATCGGACTACAAAATATCTTTTTATCACTGCTTATCTTCTCTCCCTTCATACAATGGCGAATGGTTTCGAGGAACATTGTTTGAAGAAAAGCGTTTATTTATAAAGTAGGATGTATTACTACAATCATTTCCTCGAGTTCCCAATGCAACATAGAGCTTCAGGAGCACATCTTCATTGTCATTAAGGTTTCATTTGCTACCTATTTGATCTTTTGTGTGTCACATTCGGGTGACCAGCTCGTCAACTTCCGTCTGAGGTCTACTTAAGGATCTAAAATACGATCTGAAGTCCCCTTCATATATATATATATATATTTCAAACATATACAAATGTGTCTATGGCATTTCATTAAACATATCTCACTTGATTTTTGAGGATACTACCGAATCTCTTAGAACTCAAGGAATATTAAATCCTTCCTATTATTACATGTGTCAATTCCGATGAAAATTAGCCCTCTCACCATTTAACAAGATCTCTGATAACAATCCATCTAGCTTCGTTAAACCCATTTGACGTGCAATCTGTAATTTATGTATCATATGATATGTGATTGATCGAAAATCAGGAATTAGGAGTAAAAGTGCACCGAAACGTCCTTGAGGTAGGTATAATTTTCCATTCATCAAATTCATTAATTCCATTTGTACTAAATACTGACAACTGCGAACAAGTAGACGTCCATTTTCTGATAATAATTCACAACCTGTTTTTTTTATGTGATAAATGAAAATTTAAATGGAGGAAATGCTCAATGTTTACACTTGACTACATTATTATTATGGTTAATGTAAACAAATAAATTCAGTTTCAATAAAAGTTCAACATCTTAGGATAGATTTACTTTAGCTTCAGTGTCCACAATGTCCACAAAATTATTAACTGATAATCATGTTACCAGACATAAATAATTCGTTTCCATATGGGTCTATAGATTTGTTGATGTGGCCTATTAAAATCATAGAGTGTGGTGGTACTTACTGTATTCCGATGTGTTAGAATTTAAACAACCCCAGTGATTAAATAAAACATAACTGCGGGTTGAACCCCGTACAAGAATAATGAGTTTGTGTTGCAAAAAAGTTCAAAACTGGTTGTTAGAGTCTACTGGGGGATGAAATTTGAATTCCTACAAACCTAGTAGCACAGGTGCTGATGTTTTGATGCAGTCCTAAACTTAATATCTCGTCACGAAGGAACTGAATGAGGATAGATAGTTATTTGTTCAGAGCTCACAACCCTTCTAAACCTTCCACTATTAAGTTTTAAATCATTCTTCTTACTTAATTCATTTGTTAAAAGACTGGTAATGCATTTAGTCATCTAACGCACTGTGTTCTTAAAGCTAGAAAAAATTAACAAGGAGGATCTCTGGTAGCTGACCAATCAAGAACCTATAGCCCAAGAAAAATGCTGAGAAAAGTGAAGTTGAATCAGACATCTACTTTGGAGACCAATGAATGGCACAGCGCACCAGGCAGTATTTCAAGTAGAACACTAATGAGAAATGAAGCGTTGGGCTCAGATGCTCGTGTGACATGGGTGAGGTAATGCAGTGAGGAGATGAAAACCTATGAGCACTTGTTGAGCCAGCTGAAGAAGACTTCAGAGGACAGCAGAAAGTGAAGATATATTGTCCCATGTTCCACTTGGGACCCATGAGGATAATGGCAATAATTCTTGTGATCTCTCTAAAATCACTTGATTTCTCATGACTTTCATTGAGTATCACCAGTTTTTAGTTATAAGACAGATCTGTTCAAGTGCTGACAGCTTTACTTATTCAGTGTAAATGTTTTGATTTTTGGAGATGAGAGTCTGGCATACGTAAGCCCTCCAGTTAATTTCCTATACTGGGTTTTATGGTGCCAGTTTACAATTTCCTCACTATCACAAGTACAGCTGAAAACTGTTTTGCAATAACTGTTTGTCCTCACAAACAATTCCATAAAGTTAGTTGCGGACAAATTTCGATCTCCCTGACAAAATGCTTTCATATGACCACGCATTCGTAGCCTCCACCAGGTTACTCTTGTTCACTGACTTCAAGTAGCCAGGATGTTTCTTACAAAGGTGGATGGATGAATCCAAACGTCTGTTGCTTACAATCGGACTGGTAGACATGCAGGTCTACCTAGAAGGACTGGAAAACTCTGATTCCAATCCTATGTTGTACATGGGCTCCAGAATCCAAAAGTATTGAATGGCTTATAAACCTGTTTTTTCATCGGAAACCATAGGAACGTAGCTTCTGGAGCTTCTCCACTGTCTTGTGCATCAAACATCAAGTCAAAGGTTCCAGGCTTGGTTCATCAAGATAACTGGTTGCTTCGGTCTGAGAGTCCCCATAGTATCCCAGTCGTCACATAAAATGTGAGATTTCGTATTGCACATCACCTAGTACTCATAATATACCAAGTGTATGTTTTAATAAAATAAATAAGTAAATGGCTACCTAGTGTGTTAGTTATAGTGACTACAATTTACACCCACTTGTAAGTTATTCTGTCTTGAAATCAAATAATTTATTCATTGTAGTTTCTAACAAATTAGAAAACAATTACACAATGAATATTAATAATGGATAATCTTTGAACCTCACTCGACTACTTATTAAGAGTAGCTGTGAAAAACACTAAACCTAAAAGGGACCGTCTCACCGAACTTTGTTCACTTAGAGTTTAAAGTTAAATGTCTCGTTATTTATCTGTGTTGCTCGGGTTTTATTCCATACGAGTAACATCAAATCAGGTGTTGAGGTAAAAATTTCTGTATTTTTTCCCCAAATATATTTAGATCTACTTGATATTATATTTGATATGATTTCATGCATCAACAGTAAGCGATAGACAGTAAATCACTAAGAGTAACCAGTACCGCTTGCTCACCACATGGATTCCATAACTTCTATTTATTTGTTTTTTGATTACAGCTTGATTCCACTCTGTATTTTTGGTACAAGTATGGAATTTTAAGCATGGATATCTATTCCCTGAGATGTTAACTACACTGCTAATTCAACTCAAACTGTCAGACTGCTAACGATTCTGGTTCCAAAAGCTTGAAACATATGATCAAATCAAATGCAACTGTTTGAGAGTCAAAATATTTTAAAGCAACTGATGTCACACTAGAGGTAGGTGAAATCGAAATATTACACCTACTAAAGACAATCCTCAATAAATTGGGGATCAAGTTTTTTGAATTCACCATTACCTGGCACATGTACAAATCTCAAAGTGGAACTTAATCTCTTTCAGTCTAAATACATGCTCCAATGGCAAAAGCTACCAGGTACGAATACCACTAAAAGCAAGACTAAGTTTGGCTTAACGCCCAATATCTAGCAACAGAAGTATAAAATTCGTCAATAATCCTATCTATAGATCCTCAGATGGGCTACAAAATTATAGCTATCGTTTGACTGATATAAGTAGACGAGCTTTACAAAATGAGTATTTGTCAACTAAATCTTTATTTCTGGCTTAACAAGGACTCTGTGTTCACTTATATAAATAGCAGAAACATTTGTAGCAAACATAGCAGTGAGACTTCTGTCTCAATCACCAATGAAAGATTTGATTTCCTCAACAAATCTGAGCATAAGGAAAACTTACTTGGATCGAAAAAGATAATCGCTCTAAAGAAAACCATTTCGGCTTCTTCTAAGCAAAGATTCTGTATTGGTTGGTAGATTTGGTTGATAATCATACTAGCAATTTCAGAAATTTCAGGTTGTGGACTTTTTCTCGATATTATTCGATTATTACCCAGTAGAATAAGTTGGGGTTCATTGTTCGCTGATTGAGAAAATCTCAACTCATCTTGTTTTAACTGATCGACTTCATCCGCATTTGCAGCATACTGATAGGCACCTGTTGCAGCAGGATTCCATGACGCTGCAGGAGCATTAACAGCAGAAGTGGTAACCGATTTCATAGTAGTACTATTGGATAAGTTAGTATCATCAAGTTTATGATCAAATTTTACATGTTGCTCTTCGTAACCATTCGACTGATTGAAAGTTGTCTTATGGTTTGAAACCAGTGTCATTGATCTCCAGACAGCACCAAGAATAAGCATCTCACCAGCATGTGCTTGTAATAATACAATCTGAAAATTGAAGTAATTGAGAATGTAATCTGTTGTGACAAGTATTTAGGAATGGCTTCTAAGAAGTCATCAATACCGTAGGTTTCATGCTTCCCTGTATTTACAAGAAATTTCACTGAAGGTGTCACCTCTCAATGATTCATCATCCATGTTATCCATTTAGAGAATCAATTTTCTTTGACTTTTTCTTTGAACTCGGTATTTTGCGGCTCATTTCTTATTTTGTTTAGCCATTCATCATCGAATAAGGCTCACCACCATGCAGATTCTTTTTCACTGACGAAAACTCTTAAGATTTAGACTACTGATTTTCTTTAGGGATTCGGATTAATTTCAACATAGAGTTCGTCGGGAACCAATATCTGTCGGAGAGATCACTAGAAAGCTGTTCCATCCTAATTTCAAACTCTTCGTCGGTGCACACCCACAATGCTGCGAAAGGTCGGGCTTTCGACTTTCAGACTACGAAACTATGTCCATTAAATATTCCAACACTTGGTTTTGAATTCAGTGACCCTTAAATTCTATCTCTGTCATTGTGTAACATAGAGCCACTCTGAACAACTGCCATAGATGAGTATCCAAATTTATTGATAAGGTGGGTCCTACTGGTCACAACTTGTCAGCACAGCCTCAGGACATCAATCCAGCAGCCATCAGTGAGTTTGAGAGTGACATTTAGACTAGGGGATTTGGATTAATTTGAATGTAGTCGGATCTACTATGCCAAGGTGAAGTGGGCGTTTATTGAAGGTAGTCATTCAGGGTAACGTTATATCACGAATTGACAAAGTTAGAATTTACGGGTGAATAAATTCAGGACTGATTATCTGAATGGTCAACCAGGTTGGTCTCATAACCTAATGGTCCTGGATTTCAACATTAAATCGACAGAAATCATCTGCAGAAATACGACACAGAACCATACTAGTTAACCTCCAGCCATCTGTATAACTGTCCTGATTCAATCAGACTATATCTCAAAATCTAATTTTTTTAATTTTTTAATTTTTGATTACAGCTTGATTCCACACTGTATTTTTGGTACAAGTATGGAATTTTCAGCATGGATATCGGTAGCCCAAATTTTACAGGCCAACCATAGATATCAGATATCTAGAACAAAGAATGCGTAGACTGCAAATTTTGAAAGTTAAAATTTTCCAAGATTTGGAGTTTAAAACTGTAACATCCAATCTGAAAGCTGCTTTCACTTAGAGTTTCATTCTACTCATTGTTCTTGTTGAGCAACCATCTTAGTACTTGTGTAATTTTATTCAGCTACATATTTTATTCAGTGGTAAGGATTACTTTGAATGATGCTTTTAAAAGTCATGCAGTTTATTCAGCATAAGCCTATTTCAACATTAATCATTATCATGATCACGCAAGGTACTAGATAATGAACGCATGGGTTGACATGAAATCATTGGAAATATTTTACCAAAATAGATTTTTTTACGACTGCACATCACGTGAAAGAAACATTGCATGTAAGGCAAAAGAGACAGGGGGTTTCTGCTTCAGCTAACTCAAGAAGGATTGATTAAGCACTAGGGATGACGTCTTGAACAGTGTAAAAAATTCTTTCATAAGGCTAATAAAACAAGACATTACTAGAAAACCCACAGTATGAAGTATACACACACATGAAATCAAACACATAAATGCGCCATTTGGCAATTTATTAACAAATGAATTAAGTATACGAACACTTATACACATTATTACCTGATCATTTATCGACAGTGATGTAAAGGCCGGTATATTTTTAGCCCATTCAATTAAGAATAACAGCTGTGTTCTCATCGAGTCACAGATATCATTTACATTGGCTAAATTATTCTCCAGTCCAGTGCTGATTGATTGTCTAAGTGAGTCTTTTGAATATATATCTGATTTATTTGTTTGACCTAAGTAATTTTTTTGAAGCGCCTAAATGAAACAAAAACCGGCAAAAGATTTATAAATGGATGAATAATCAAGTGGTTAATACGCTGAGTTAAGGTTTTCAACATTTTCCTTTAGTAGGTAGAGGGTAAATAATAAAACCAACTCTCAATAAATCTTCGATTGGACACTGTGTAACAAATAATGTAATGTGTTCAGTCTTTCGTTTGGTGCACACTGGATTCTGTCAGTCAGATTTGCAACCTGATCAGGTGGCTGGGATAACGATGCACTGTGAATTGATGTTATTAGATGGTTGGAGGCAATCGGCAGAAAGCCTTGAACCTAGGTTCCGTGACTGATGGCACTCGTTGGTGGGAAGTGTCTACAGTCTTGAAAGATCATATGACCCTTCAGAGATTCAAACTTCAGTCATCCAGTCACCACTGAGCTATTCAGACTTGCGATTGATCTCCTGTAGGACTTTAACGAACACTTTGTCTTGACATAATTTAGTAACTAACTTTTTTTTTATTTACAGCTTGATTCCACACTGTATTTTCGGTACAAGTATGGAATTTTCAGCATGGATAGCGGTAGCCCAAATTTTGCAGGCCGACCATAGATATCAGGTGTGCGTCGGTGCGGGCTCGAACCCCGGACCATGTGCATGATCGGCGAGAGTCCTAACCACTATGCCACCGACGCACTTCTTGCGTCTAATTAGGAGGGACATGATTTCAGATACTCCCTGTTGAAGAAAAAAGTCAGCTAGATGAATTTGGATAGGTGGTATTAACGTTAAAGTAACATAACTTAAGCTTTTTTGTGGCGTTGTCAAGTGCAACTTTGTTTTCCCCCGATCTGGAGAAGATAATCATGGGATTTATCACTAGTGATGTTTAAGAAGCTGATTAATTTCGATATGTTTGCTCTTCTGTTCGTCACTGCTTTGCGCATTAAACTAAATCAGATGAGATGAACCTTAATGTGATAATTGAAAGTAAGGCGCCTTTATATCTCTTTTGAACGTATTATACTTCTCTTAGGAAACAGTCTGGTTTATCATTGATTGGTCCAGATCATAATGGTCAATGTAACCCTTATTTCCTTCACTTTTAATGAATTCTTTTCTATAATTTGACAAAGTAATCATTGGAATTAAATAAACAACTCAAATCATTGAAGAATCGTATTTCAATATTAGATGTAAGGTAGAGATAAACTGTAAATCACTCAGTCCTGCAAGTGATTATCAGTCATGACTTGAAAAGCTTACCGGTAAAATCTCTCAGTTTGTCACGGAATTAGGTGTGTTTGAATCTTCAAGAAAATGAGTTAGTTTATGATCTTGAATCAGCACTGTTGATGATTAATAGTGAGCCCGAAAGTCAGTTGATACTTATTCCTATACCAATATGCTAGTAAACTCCATATAATCACCAGCGCTTATCATTTCTTTCTCAGAACCTAATCTATCGATTGAAGGTAAGCGACATGTTGCTGGGCTATTCAAATACTTCAGAAGTAATGTGTTCAAATTCTAGTTTACGCTTAATCTTATGTCTTTTGAATGCGCATGTTTTATAGTGTTAATCCCATGTATGTTAACAGATGTTGGATTCTATTCACCCAAAGTTTCAGTTTGAAGCTTTCATCTAACAGAATTTAGTAGCGGTTGTGAAATAAAACAACCAAGTCATTTTAAAGGGAGTCAGTAAAAGATAGTGAAATATACATACACATTATTTAGTAATGTTACTTATACCATTGAACATTGAAAATATATATAATATTAAAGTATTAAACTTACACAATTGGCAATTGTTTCAGCTTGTATCAACTTCTGTAAATCTAAACTCGATTGAATAGATGAATTTGTATCATAGGTTGAATGACGATTACTAATTTTATCACGCTCTTTTTGTACAGCTTTAACAAATAAAAAAGAATGTAAGTATAAAGCAACATTCTAATGTAAACAATTTTTAAAATACAACATTTTGTATACTTTAATGATTCAATTATCTATAATGATAATAGTAATAATAATAATTATTATATTGTTATTCACTGTTCTTAGTCATACAATGTATACTCAATACTTACCTAATTATCAAATTATTCCTATCTCTTTTTCATAGATTTAGTTCGGTATTCGATATTCAATTTCATACAAACCGCATCATTACGATTCTAGCAGAATTGTGAAACTATCTAAATACAATTTAGATTTTTCCGTCGATTGATTGGGTCGAAGGGCTTGGTCTCAGCTTAACATGTTGGCTCCTGGTGGGGGTGCTCCGATGATGTCTGATCATGTAACTTGAAATCAATTGGTGGATGGTGACTAGCATTGGAATCCCGAACGCCCATTTCGTCCCATTCCGGACACTTCATTCGGATTTACCTGCATTCTAAATTGAATTAAATAATTAATAAGACCCTTTGCACAAGAGTTGGCTCTCGTGGCTCAGGTGGTCTAATGGATAACTCTTTGACGTTTGAAACTATTGAAACTGGGTTCGAACCTCAGTGGGAACACCATCACTCAATGAAGAATGCAGGTAAATCCAGCTGACACGTCTCGAATAGGAGGGAATGGACATCCTGAATTCCAGTGCTGGTCACCATCCACCAATCAACTTAGGGAATTGTTAAACATTCGTAAAAAAACTACATTAAGGAGACTTCAACAGGGGAAAGGATGAAAAGACTGTCATCTCTAGTGACTTCAAACGATGCATTACTTAAAAACCCACGACAAAATATTAAGAAGAGATGTGGATTATGAACTGGTACAATTAAATGTCTTAAATACTTTCTTACGAAGACAACTATTTTGCAGATGCTACCAATTTCGAATCCTAACTACGGTACACGTGATTTTAGACATGTATAGATAAAATCTACTATGACTCAGAGCTACCTGCGTTAAGGGAGAAGCTTTGATGCCCTATTTTCACAAATCATTATACATAACCTGTTTGTGTGCATTATCGTTTCTTCTCATGTCAAACAGTTATTCACTACTTTTAGCTACACTGTTTATGTACCTTTGTGTCTTTTTATCATCCTGAGCTGACAATCACTCCCCATCTGTAAACTGATTAAGGTTGACAAAAATGGTTGATTACTGAACTTCAAGTGAAATTCTTTTCCAAAGGTTCCAGATGCCTATAGACAGCTGTCTTCTGTTGATAGTGAACATCAGATAACCAGTAACTATAGCATCAAACCAATTAAGAGACTTTTGCCCTAAAACTAGGCAGAATGAAATGAAGATGTATTGGACACACACTGAGGAGACCTTCAAGTAACATGACACTCTAAGCCGTCTAGTGGAGCACGAATGGGAAGCTATAACTTCGATGTTCAAGGGTTATGTGAAAGAGATTATGCAGACGGAAAATAAAACCTTATGAATAGTCGTATAGCTGGTTGAAACGGAAACCAGGAAACCAGGTGTAGCAAAGATTTGCCACTGAGGCCCTATGTTTCATTTGGAACTCAAGAAATTAATAATAATGTAACTATTAAAATGCAACTGATTAGTAAACTGTAAAACAGTAGCTTTAAGATCTGAAGATCCTTGGTTTAAACTTATGCAAATTTATTGTTAAGAAGGGATGGAGATTTCAAAATGAAGATATGACGAGTAGCTGTTTCTTGCAAATGTTTGGTAATTTTCTAGTTAGAGTAAATTCACAATTGTTGGATTTAACCACCAGTCTCCTAGACTTCACATATGTGCTTGGAAAACAGTCAATAAGTTCAATGACTCAGGAAGTTACTTCACTGTTCTTGATGACAAGTAGTATTACTAATCAGCATTCAAAAACCAAATGTTATAACTACCTCAGTGAAAACCATCCTGACAAGGTTAATTGTGGTAGGGAAATCTAAACTCTTAGTGTAGGCTAATTTAGTCAAAGAAATGTGACGAAAAGTTTTTAATGTAATTAGGCTTTGTTGTGTGTTTGGACATGAACTCACCTGACTCTTTCATCCCAACACGGAAACATTTACGAAAACGACAAAAACGGCATTGATTTCTTTTATCCTTTGTTACAATACAAGATCGTTTATGTCGACATGTATAAGAGTGCTTACGACGCACAGAACGTCGGAAAAATCCCTTGCAACCATCACATGAATATGCTCCATAATGTTTGCCTGAAAGGTAAACAATTTATAACTGATAGATTATTTAGCAACAGTGTAATCAACACATTCATCAACATATATCAATGTTCTCGTATGACAGTTATTTACAATCATTTACTTCTCATAACGAAGTTGACTAATCATTTCTTTCGTCATACTTTGCATTCTCAGTGGAACATCCGGCTTCAAGACCAGGGCTTTGGAGTTTCAGTGACACTGGCTTTGTTTTTCTGTAATGTTGTTTTGTGATTGCTAGTTTAAAGGTCATTTTTTCATCTTTTCTGGGCTTACTATCAGCTACTAATTTAGGCAGGCTTGGGAATGCGTCAACTGAAAATCGAACCCAGGCGACCATTCTACCAATGAACCACCGATATACGATCATTAAGGGGAAATTATTATGCAACTACACTAACAATTTTTCCATTCTGCTCCTATTTTTAGAAGTCTGTATGATGGAATACAGAACAACTTTCAGTTAACCTGTGCATCACAATCTTCTCTTGTCTATTCGAGAATATGTTTCCGTTTGCAGTTAGCATTTCAGCAAGCTGATTTAAATATTTTAAGTTCATTTCATTATCATTTATATGTCCAAATCAAGTTCGCTTTTAGCAGCTTGAAAAATTTGCTCATTGGGCATATGATATTCACTATAATAAAGGTTTTTTGTATTTCCGAATGAATGAGAAACAAAACGATACTGTTTTTACTGACGCTTCGCTGGTTAATGCTAATAGCCTTATCAAAGTATTATCAAACCAGAATTTACAAAATCTCAGTTTATATATAACAATTTAATTATCGTTTCTCAGCATGGGGCATTTTTGTGTTGTCAAGTTGGCGAAATGCTAAAGATAACAAAACCAGGTGCAGATTGTTGGATTTGATAAGTGTGCCAAATTATAAAATCAGCGTGTATTTACATAATGAAATTGCTTATCATATTCGTGTTGATTTTGTCATTTAATGAGGGAGGGGGTTTTGTAACCAGGTCGAATTCTGTTTTAGCCCACCATTCCTATTCAGACAACTCGGATTCGATTTGATATGAAGTGCTTCTGATATTAGGCTTTCTTAGACGTGATTTCTGAAATTCTTCTGAATTATTTCAATATTGTCACAATCAGTTTTATGACCTGTTTCTATAGCGTGTAGATATATGGCTGGCTGGTAATTTTTCAAGCTTTTCTATTTCATCTAGATTTCTGGGTGGTCGAACGGATTCTCTAAAGTGTTCATTTCTTCTGATTTTGATTTCTCTCGATGTCTGTCTGATGTATATCACATCACACTCCAAGCATTTTATTTTATAGACACAATTAGATAGAGAATCTTTCGGGATTTTGTCTTTTACATGGACAAGGCTTTTTCGCAGCGTGTCTGATATTTTGAAGAAAAAACTCTGATATCAAGCTTATTGAGTACTCTTCTGATATCGCCTGACGTCTCTGCTCTATGTGGAATGACAACTTTTGAGATCCATGTTTTCGGAACAGATTTTCGACCATACTTAATATCAGTGCTGATTTTGTTGATGAATTTCTTTAAGCAGTTATTTTGCTTGAGAGTTTCAGTAATGTTTGATATTTCTTCTTCTTTTTCTTTATCATCCGTTATCAAAGAGTGTTCTCGTCTAAGAAACCTCAGTGAAAAAATATCGTTCCATTTTGCATTTATTGGGCAATACAAAAACAATCTTCATTATAATGCATATCATTTCATTATCATTAGATATCTGGTTGTAATTAAGAGGATGATTAGAGTAGGATATTATTTTAGTTGTCTTAAAAACAACTACCGAACGCCCAAAGGACATTTCATTCAGTAAGCGAAATTGATCTTCTGTTAGTACCGGTTTAGTACGCTGAACCATTATTAATATTCGAAAACAAATTTTACTAAAGTGTCGAATCACTTCCTTTGGTGACGACATCGAATACTGTATATATAGTTTTCCATTGGTATTTCTGGTGTGAAATGTGTGTCAGTGTAAGTTCGCTTATTAGACCACAGCCATAGACTGTAGCATTATACGTAATATAGTAAGTTAATTATGTCGTGATATCTATAACCACTATTTGGATTCTTCGAATGTTTGGAAATTCCTTTATCCTCGGAAAATAATGAATATTTTTTTGTGTGCGTCGGTGGCACAGTGGTTAGGACTCTCACCGACCATGTACGTGGTTCAGGTTCGATCCCCTGCCGACGCACACCTGATATCTATGGTCGGCCTGCAAAATTTGGGCTACCGATATCCATGCTGAAAATTCCATACTTGTACCAAAAATACGGTATGGAATCAAGTTGTAATCAAAAATAAAAAAATTTATATTCTGAAGTTTTAATGGACGTTGTATTAATATACTTGGGAATAACATATCACATAAACTGACATTATATATAGTAATCCTTCTAGAATTTTCTGAAAGTCATCCAAACGGGCAAACATTATTATTCGTCCCTTGTTTTCCTATTACCAAACTTGCTTCACTTCTCGACATTGTGTTCAGTAGGTTGCATCTCCCCTTTGTTTGAACTGACACCAAGTCCACCTGATTCTCTCGTGTACCCACCTATTGAAATCCACATCACTTTATATTTATCACCAGTATGCACGCATATACATGTACTGAAATCCCTTCGTATACAGTCAACTCTTCCTTCTTAAATAATAATTCCACAGATGCTCATCTCAAAGTTTATTCACTACTGAAATTTAAGGCTTTAATTGTCACCAGTTATTCAACACTGTCTTAGTAAAATTCAGATGTTCAAATTTTTTTAAAGACGGATAAGTAGTTTTAACTAAAAAATGGCAACTAGTCTGGAAATGATTTCCAAGAAGTGCCACTGAAAACGGAGGACAGAAAGTAAAATACAACCAAAACTATATTTCATTTACTTTATCCCCTTTTGAAAGAATACTTTATGGAAGTATTCTCGTATAAATAATTAATATATGCATATATATATATATATATATATTCCATTTAGTTCAATAATATTTATAATACAATATAAATATTATATTCAATATAATTATAACTGTTATAGGATTTAATGTACAGAAGTCACAGGTCGCTGTATCTTAAGCTCCAGATGAATAATGATTTTCGCCAAGCTACAGAGTGAAATTGTTCAGATGTTTAAGATCCTGGTTATCTGCCTTAGCGCACAGCTCATAACCCGAGTCTAATAAATAGTTTGGGAAATCCACCATTTGAAGATCACACGATTATTTTGAAATCACTGTGACTTAGGAGTATCACAGACCATATTCTGATTGGCTTTCTCAGTGATAAAAGAGAATTTCATCCTTGAGCTCTATTTCTACCTGTTATCAGGTCTAGTTATAAAATTTGTTGACTATTATGGATTTATAAGCAGACATGTTGTTTTTATCTGAAAGAATTTTGAAGAATTAGTTTGTGAGGATTTGATTTATTTCAAATTTGATTACGGATTGATGTAAGTTAGGGAACCACTGTAAACCACGGAGTACTGGACAGCTGTCTCGTCCTAGTTTGGGACTCATTGGCAGTGCACACCTACTGGGTGGTAGTGCTAAAATCCCGAATCAGTAGAAGTTAGAATACATGGGCGAGTGAGTCAGGTCCCAGTGGCTGAATGATAAGCGAGCTTGCCTTGTAAACGCTAGGCTTCAGGTCCGAGACCAGGTGGGTGCGTACTGATGACGAGTCACAAACTTGGATGAAACAGCTCTCCATTACTCCCTGGTTTTCAATGGTTCCTTAACTCATATCAATCCATGATCAGACTTGAGAGAATTTTGGAATTGTTTCATATACTACTCGTAAGTAGTGCTGGTGTTTTTGTAAAATGTAAGTAACTCAAACTTCAACACGTAGGAAGCAAATATATTGTAAAAATAATAATAATACCAATAATATCAGCTTTAATTCTGAATATTGTGTTTGAACACAATAAAAAGCTCCCAGCGTAATTCCTTGTGAAACATTTACTCTGATATAGAATATTTAAGTAAATATTGAACGACGTATATCGAATGATTCAGCATCATTCTATCTGAAAGGAGATTCAATTCTCTACAACATTTCCCTTAATTTTCTTCTCGAAATGCACAACAGCAAATTATAAGTCCGTTAAAAATATGTCAGAGTTTATGGTGTGACCCAAGGACTTAAATGGAAAGTGAGAAAAGTTGATACAGTATAGAGAGTGGAAATTAAAGTATTCCAACAATTTAAATAGGCTGACGAATTTTCTTTCAACTGTGTGTGATTTGTTTCCTTGGCTTTCTAACATACAGAGTCGAACCTAATATTTTATGCTATTCTAATATAAAAAACAACCCTCTTTTTTCGACATTACCAAAGAAATCCGTGATTGGTGAATAACTTTGCAGCCATTTAACCACTTTTTTTTGTTGTAAAACGACCTAAATAGCAGGGATATTACAACTTCTAAAGTCCTTACTTGACTTCTTCACGTCAGTGTGAATGTAAATTAAATTGAACAAACCTTTCTCCAATCAATAATTCATTTACTTCAATAGCGTTAAGTTTAAATTAATGCAGTCGCAGTCGTTTAAAGTGGCTGTATTTTAAACAAGATTAAGTAATTCTGTGCAGTAAATGTAATCATTCTGTACGAAAAACTACTGTCATTATTTTACCAACTTGATGGTAATGACAACAGGATCCAGAATGTAAGTAGGCGTCTTTCTACTTTGGACTGATGACAAATGTAGCAATCAGGTCAGATAATGTGTCAATGAATGTGAAAGGACAATTGAATCTTAGTAACGCCTACAGTGTGCGTCAGTGGCATAGCGGTTAGGACGCTCACCGACCATGCACATGGTCCGGGGTTCCATCCCCGGCCGGCGCACTCCTTTACCTCACTCAACCAGAATTAAAGCTGGTGAAGAGGAAAAGTTCGGCATGAGGCTAGCAACCCCATCCTGTAAAAACAAACACTGCTACAGAAACTTCATGCCAGTAGCTTTAAGCCCTATGTTC